AAGCGCTTCAACAAAGCTGGGTGCATTGGTAATGCGACTTGACATCTCGCGTCTTGACATCCGTTCTGATGCACAGGGTTAAGGGAGGATGTCTAGACGCGTATTCGTAATGTTAAGAAGGGATCCCCTCCCAACCACCTTTACTGACTTACCTCTTTGCTTGACTTGTGGAGCCTCGTGCTTGAGTTACTCAACTCCGTGTCTCTCAAGTTGTTGCAAAGCCTTGGTCAGCGTCTTCGGCCACTACAGTTGGCACATCTTGCTCGATGATGCAGAATCGCAGCACCACAGTCACTGCTGCGGTCCCGCCACTTTCTTCTTCATCACATGAATCTCAAGATTAAGAGCACAGAAAGCACCACGGCGTTTGCACCAAGCAGGACTTCCGTTGTCGTTGATGATGTGACATGTAAAATACATCGTCTTTGGGCCGACAGTGCATCCGATCTCGACGATCTGCTGGTCGAACAACGACTTCCTTTCACGTAGCCAATGTGCCGGATGCTTGCTACCACCGGAAGCTATGCTTCAGCTCCAGCTCGCCTGGCTCAGCCACCATCATTGTTAAAGGGACGTTGGGACATGGAAATGAAAAGTCGACTGATCTATCGGCATGCCGATTATTGTCCATCGATATAAACTGTACATCTACTGCTAGGTCAGATGCACTGTGGAATATGTGATTGAAAAGCTCACGTATCATCACTGGGTGTTGACTAACTCATACGTATCGTCTTACACAGTCCACTTCGGATGCTCGTGTACGACGGTACACATAGTCATAAGGGGACTTATGAAGACTTTGGCTGTCACACTCTACGCCGCTCCTCGAGAAGAGGGCTATGGAGAACTGGAAAGGGCGAGAGCTGGAAACAGGCGTGGTGACATGTATACCAAGAATTCTTCTTTGTCGGAATTCAAGTCATAACTTCGTGGTACTAATAATCAATTTAGATCATTTGAGGTTCACCTGATCTGTCTTTTCTTTTCGTTATTGGTGATACTACTAATTGCAATGCTCATACAACCATCAAACCTCGAGGTATTCCGTAGGGAACGCGAAGATAGATGACGATCTTCTGTGGTCAAAGAGGTGTCCACGCTTCATATTCCGACGCTATCTTACATCGTCGTTTGGGGTATAGCAGATGCTGTTCTGGTACTCTCCAAGATACATCGACTGCTTCTTCAGGCTTGAGGGACTTCACACTACTAGATTGTCACGTTGTACGTGCATTGTCATTTTTCAATACACAGCAGACCAACATTTTAGTTTGCCGATTTCTCACGAGTCGCTGTAAGACTAAGAATCATACTCACCGCACTGTACATACCCCAAGGTCCGCGTACGATCCCAACACATCAGAAAAACATCGATGCCACGTCCACAGGTAGACCATACACGCTTATCGTGATATCTTACAGTAGTCCATTCGTTATATACTCTCTCCATTACGTATCGTCGACGAACGCTGAAGTTCTATACGACGGGCATTAGTGCATGCAGTTCTTATAAAGGTATATGTTACAACAGAGAAGGACCAGCCAACATGCGAAAATGGTGTCTTTTGCGAAGCGAATCGTAGCGCATAGTCATGGTTATCATTGGGTGGGGAAGAGATGCCAATGCTACACAGTCTTGGACAAAGGATGTGGTGATATGGAGCGGAGTGGTATAGCGTGAATTAGAGAAGTACTACTCAAAGACAATGACGACCATTACGGTGTAACTGCACATGTTGAGCCGCTCAGATCACCGAACGCTTGCGCGCTGATCTCCCGGTTGCCACAAGCTGCTGAACGCTCCGCCGAACGGCAACAACGTATTCGGGTCGGCTTCTCGGACGACGAAACTTGAGTGTTCCCGTTTATTCACTTTCCGGCTCTCTTCTCGCCAACGATGCTCGTTCCACAATGGTGTCTATCTATGTTGTGAGCGAAATTCTCATGCAGGACACGACGCCGCGACGACGGGCGATCCTGCAAGCGATCTGTCGTGTACTATAGATTACAGACTTGATCGATTCGGACGAACTGTAGCGCTGGGTGTTGGTGGTACCACGGCTACGTTACCGTCGCACTGAAACCGTTCAGAGCAAAATCTCCGAAGTTGCGTCGTGTCGTGCGTACATGCATGGCATCAAGTGGAGGACGATGATGATGATAGTTCCTTCGGGATCTGCTACGCATGAAACATTTAGCTTCATAACAAAGAGTCAGACAAACGCCATCAGACCCTGAGAATCCTTCCCCAAGTCATTGGCAAGCCTCGCCCGTATCGCTTTTGTATGGAGGCACATGACAGAACATGATCTACGCCGCAGATCAAACACGCATCTTATCCAGCCACTAAGCCACACCGTACGCACCATGTGCTTCTGCGGTTCGATCCGAAACCGTCGAGCTGCATAGCGTTGCGCATCTTTCGGTACAACTGCGGAAGTGCGAAGGAAAGTATTGGTACAACAGTCAGATGCTCGCCGCAACGAGCGCATTCGGCTGGATGCGGGTGCTTGAACGTGAATTGGTAAACGTGGGACGGCAGATCTGCATTGACGCAATCGTCCCAGTGGAGTAGGTTGTACAGCTGTAGCTGTTGTACAGCGCTGCATCTGGGGAACGGATGTAGTCGGGAGGCGTAAGCCTAGCGATGTATAGGAAGGGGCGAGTAGATGTGCTGCGGTTGGTTTCTATGCCGCATGCTACAGGCTGTACACGTTGTGTGCGGGCCGCGAAGGAAGACGCTCAACAGTATCCTTGCGCATGTCATTCGCCGAAGGTATTGCTACTGACTGCCACCTCATCTCCTCACCAGTTTCTCACTCTGCGCGAGAATTTAGAATGTCGGACTCATTCCCGATCTTGATTCAACGACACTCAATAGCGTGCCAAGAGAGCATCTACTTGAGACTTATCCCAACAGATGGCAGTAATTGCTCATTCCCAACAGCAGGGTAATGGCACGCGTGCTAGAGTGCTACCACGGCTAGAGGTGATGGGATCACTTCCCGAAATAGACTCACGGGCGATCCTTTTCTTGATTGGATGGTGGTTGGGAGACAGCCCTATCCCGGTCGCTCGGTTGGATGCAACAGCGTGTTAAGCCCCACCAGTTCCATATTGGAGAAGCGATGGTGTGATTACCGCTTTTGGATGGGCTGCCTGAGATTATCCTGGAGAGCGTGTCGAGTCGGTACCTGATCGACCCTATAACGACTGGGGATGTGGAAGAATTGCAAAAGGCCGGCGGCTGAGCGGAGGCGGCAGACACGGGCAGTAGCGAGAGAATGGGAAGGAGTCGTCGAGTGTCAAGGGTGAAATGAGTGCACAATACCCTGCAGGCAGCTTCAGGGTTTTCCATGTGGTTGAGATGACTCTACAGTCGACCAAAACATGGTGGTAGATGGCATTGATGTGGCTCAGGACAAAGAGATGATGGACATTGCAGGAGACATTGCGGTGGTCGCCGAGGAAAAGCGACGGAGGGGTGCTAGCCGAAGCATATGGTTCATAGTATGAGGCAGTCGCGGTGGTATTGGTGCAACGGCGGAACCATGGCTGCAGAATCTACCATGGTATCAGGGTCTAGAGAATACACGGCATTGAGTCGTTTCTGCGCAACGGTCGGAGAATACTTTGCAGGATGTGACTCCGAGATGTGACTCGGAGGTGTCGGCTATGGTGTGTTTCAAGAGATGCTAAGCCGCGGCTCTTTGTTAGAGGTGAGTGACTGAGTGAGTGACTGAGTGAGTCAAGCAGGAAGGGGCAGCCTCCACTACACGATTGATGAGGCAGGCGTGATGTGGCAAGGAAGGAGCCATGTGACAGGCAAGGAGGTCGCAGAGGAGCAGTATCCCAGGACCGGGCGAACGTTGCCGGCCACGTGTGAAAGATGCCGACAAAGGACCCTGGCTCTGTGCGAATGACTAAGGGCAGGCGAATGACTGAGGGTGGTTGGCCCGACACGACGACACGACTAGGGAGGACTGTGAGAAACAAACATCGACTAGCGCTATTGGAGAGCTGGCCTTGCTGAAACACGAGGCCATGAACGATGTTCCTGGCCAATTAATCCTCTTCCGCTCCGTGTCGATGGCATCTGCTTTGAGCGTGGTCAAACCGCTGATGCGCCGGCGTGAAACAAGTCGAAGGCTCGTCTAGGGCCGGCCGGCAGGCATGAGCTGGCTCGAGTATGATTGGATGCAGAGCGAGTATTGGCAATGGGCCTGTAACGCCTTGCCATGCACACGACGGCCAGTCATGGTGAGGCTGGTATGCACGGCGTGGTGCATCAGGTCGTGAGGTCAGCTTTGCAAGTGGTGCGCGAGCTGAACAGGTGGTGAGCGGGTGGTGAAGGCGCGAGTCCTGCAACGACGGTAGGCATTAGACCATCACAGAGATTTTATCCATCTCGCACCATGGATGCCCGCCCGCGGATGCGAAACAGTGGGTTGCCCAGTGGCGTCTGTCTGGTGCAGCGAGCTCCCGCAGAGGGCGCGACCATCTGCTCGCCCTAGCCATCCCCAACTCACACTACGCATGGAGGGCCTGGCTCAGACGCTCGCTATAGGGCCGCCCATGTCAACCGCCCCCCGGCCTGGCGTCTGGAGGCACGTCGTCTACTGCATGCCAGCCGCTGTATCGCTCGACCATTCCCTGCCCGCCCTGTGCAAACACAAGTCTGTGCGAGCCATTTTTATCCCCTCCACACCCGCGCCCCAAAAGACACGACGTGTGCTGTCTCTCTCCGACGCCAGCCAGCGCTGCTTCTTGTCGCATTTAATTTTTTCTACCACTCCGCCCGCGTGCATATCCTCACGCATAACTCGCAGCCCGCACTCGGCCCCGGCTTAGTGTTGCACCAGCCTCTAACCCCCCCAGGCCTGCCCACATCCCTCGACACTTGGTGTAGCGGACTTCCTACAAGACCCTGCCACACTTCACTCCTACAATCTATCTGCCCCTCCCACCGAGCACAACACGGACGCCCACACGCGACCATGACCACCGTTGTCGCCAATCCCCCGGCCCCTGCCCAGCATGCGGCACCGGCGTCGGCAGACGGAGTAGGCTCCTCGAGGACATATGCTCCCATTGCGCCCTCTACTCTCTCTCCCCACCAAGTGACGCCCAACTCTCGCTCTAAGCTGCCACCAAGAGAAGATGCTTCACCTACCTCCTCCAGCCCAGGTGCACAGCACAGAGCCGAGACAAAGCCCTCACCTCTTTCGTACGTCGTTTAGTCTTTCTTCCCGATCTTCTTCCTCATCATGCCGTCCTCCTTCGGCCTCCTCTCCCACCTGCACCTCCATGTCTCCTCCCCACAGAGATATCATGTCACTCATGTCTAACCGTCCCTCCTCTCGCAGGTCTCGTGGCCCTGTCCCTAAAGTCGTAGTCAAGAAGGAGCCCACATCGCCAGACATGCCCACCACCACCAGGCATCGGCCCCAGCGCCTAAACCTCGCCAACCACAACATTGTCCACTCGTCGGGTGCCCTCACGGCACGACCCTCGGGCCAAGGCAGTGCTCACCTAGGCCTCCACGATGTTGGCATGGCCTGCCTCTCACCTGGCTTCCACACCCAGGACCCCGGCATGCGCGAGCAGCTGCAAAGAAGCTTGGATGTAAGAGAACGCCAAAGGCAGATCATCGAGGCGCGCCAGAAGGGCGGCAAGAGCGGACCATCCGAGACAGAAGACACACGGGGCACAGAGATTGGTGCTTTTGGACGGACAATCAAGACACCTCAAACCTCTCGCCGGAAGGGCCCACCGCCCGGTCTTTCTATTGCGCCTCCTTCACATTCGTCCTTCTCCAACGACCGTGTAATCCAGTCAGCGCCCATCAACCAAACCTTTACTGGTCTGCGCGGCAATGCACCACCCTCACGACAGCTGGCCAACGGCCCGTCAAACCTGTCGCAATCATCACACATCCACCATGTACCGGCACAGCAAACCAACAACCGGTTACCCCCCATCTCAGACGTCTTCCCAGAGCCTCTTGGAACAGCGCGGAACCCCTACCATCAGAACAGCCCAGGACACTCATCGCATTCGAATGTCCAGCCCCCAATGCCATCACCGAGCTTCCCGCCCCCACAATTTACACAGCCGCCCCCAACATCAAGACCCCGAGAATACAAGTCCGCCGAGGAGGCTGTTCAACAACTATCCGGGGGTCGCGAGGATCTTCTGCCCCGTCTGGTCCATTACGGTGGTCACCAACCTCCAACACCCCCCTCGCCAATGCCCAAGAATGGATCATCAGCATATGCATCCAGGCCTGATCTGCACCGAAGTGGCAGCTCTCGGAGACGCGGACGCGACGAATACGAACAAGACAACGGTACCCCGCCGCTCGGTCGCCAACAACCACGCCTCGGTCCCTTTGGCGCCGGCCGTGACTCACCAGAAACTCAACTGAAAAAGAAGGAAGAATTCATTGGACTGTGTGCAAGAGCTTGGGATCTGTTTCACTCATGATGATACCCGGCTTCGGCTTTGACTCGATAATTACTATTCAGCGACAACTTGATCTTATTTCTATCCTACGGCGCATCATCACTCTCGCTTCAATCATTTCGCTTCGATTTCTCAGCAGGTCGTTTTGAACACTGCAACTTATTACCCCTTCGTATTCGCGCATTATTGATCTTCGATACGTTTTTGTAAAAGCGCCAGCAGAAGCAGCCTCGCAAGGGGCATGCAGGGTTATACCCAGACACACGCACCCACCACATTTCCATATGTTATTCCTTTTTATTACTATTCTCAAACTTTTAAGTTTCGAGTTTATTTTGGGAGAGAATCATTCATCATGTCCATATGAGTTTAAGGGATGAGGGCATTTATTCGACAGGCAATGTTTTGCTATACGTGGCTGAGGCCGTCTTGAAACACACAATGTCTCATGATCATTCTCACTTTTACCATTATTATTTTTCTCGTTCTTCTATTCCGCTGAAACCCCGACCTGTTTAGGCGGTGGATCTTTTTCTGGTTGCGACATGCGATGTGGAGGAGATACCTTTTTCGACTTTTGTTGGGGTGTTAATCTTGGTTCGAGCAAACGCAATGTCTAGTGGATCTGCAGAAAGGCAGGACAAGTTGAGAAAGTAGCGCTCACGCACAGTGACGCACTTTACCCTAAGTGCCGTAACAATAAGAATGTTCATCTTCCAAACTATGATGGCTTTTGAGTCTGGACCCTGACAACGTGTTCGCGTGCATGCATGAACAACACTTCACTTGGTAGCGTTGCGTCACCAGACAGACTACTAGAATTCATTGGACGATAGCAGCTTATGTTTCCGATTGTGTAGTCGGTCTGCTTCGGAGTCTAATTGACAACGCGCAACAAAAACAATGCATGGAGGATAGCTTACAGCACATCACAGCCTGCCGAGGGAGTACGCAGTACACAAACTCCATCGAGATCAGCCTCGCAGTGCGTATCAATCATGTCTACTCCATGCAATATCACCAATAACAGCAATGACGCAGGCATGAGTAAGCAAGCCCAAAACACCGACCGCGTCATTATCGACTACCGTGATTGCGATAATCATCGTTCGCATCCTCCTGTCCATCTCCATCTACACTTTCCCATACCCACCCGTTCAAGTAATCATCTACAACAATCCTATACCTGCCCCGCATAGTGACTCCCAAGGCGGCCAAGCCGGTCGACCCAACCGTTGATCTGTTTACCATCCTCCTGATTATCTCTGGTTGTCTACCAGTAACGACGGGAAAGAGTATCCGAGGGTGCCGATCAGCGTTCCGTAACTTTCGTCAATCGCCAATCTTTGAAGATCGCAAACATGCAGCCTTATGTGACAGATTGATTGGTTTCGATCAGCAGAAAAAGACTGAACAGGCGGTATGATGAACAGGATTCAAAAGCCATATCCAGCCCTATGTAACAGATTGAGTATTGGGTCTCTGGTAAAGAGCGGGATCGCGGCCACACGACCAACGGTACAATCAAGAGTAGTACGGTATGATGAGACAAGACGGGAGGACTTCGGGGGAGACAACACCCGCTGGCCGACGACTGACGATCCGGTCTTGGTTGTTCGGAATGTTGACGATCACAAGCAAGTCGGCTATATGCAAGACCACCGAGAACTTCATCTCGTGCGCGCGCACCTTTTCTCCGTCTCGTACGCGTTGTTTGTCCGTCTAGCAAAACATCTTTCATCTCGCCAGCATCCTAAATCAATAGTCTAGTATCCATCAACCTTCTTATTCCAGACACCCCAAGAGACCGGTCCAAATTGCAGCGACATCAAAGGATCGCGTGCGCAGGATCGCGGAATTGAAGCCATTTGCAATTTTCCACATGATCTTCACCAGGATACTGGCTGGGGTGGTGGGCTTTGTCTTCAATTTATCCTAGCACACCTAGCCACGCACGGTGTCCTTTTCGCATCATCAACTTTCTCGCTAGACCTGGTTCTCACCCTAGTTGGTTTCGAAACAAACGTCGTTACCTAGCACGCTTAGTGACGCAGGGACCAAAATTGTGCGCTGGCAAGGATATGCAAAAACATGAAACAGCCGCTTCTTAGCTTCGGAGGTGGGAGAGCATAAGATGAATTGAGGCGTTGAAGGATGAAGGAGGAGGATCAAGGGAAGACGCGAGATGAGGGAGGATCGCGTGGGTATGGCAACGCCACGAACATGCCGCGTGTGTGTACGCCGCGGACTGCTAAAGGCGGAAGGTAGAGGAGTTGATGGAGAGATGCCGCGTGTGTGCCGTCGTGGCTAGGAAGGGAAATGTACGCGGCAGATGTGACGATGATGATGGCGTGGCGACGCGGTCGTTGAGCAACCATCTTGTTCCATAGCGGGAAAAGCGCGTGATGCGCGTGCTGCGCGATGGAAAAACGTTCGTCCAGGCATGGTATTGTCACTGGACAGGGTATGGTGCAAAGCAATCGAAGCTTTTTTAGGGAAGGGATACGTCGCGTTGTCACCGCTGTATCGGGCCTCGTGACCGCTACATATTGTTTTGAAATCTAACTGGGACGATGCGATTCACTGGGTTTGAACAAGGGTGTCCCCACTTGATTCTACATTATTGCTGTTCTGCTGACTGGTTGACAGGTGGTGCATTCCATCGGTTCCTTACTCGGAGCGCTGTCGGTGCTACACATGTCAGATCTGACGATGCAGATGCGCGCGTGTGCGTGGAGACTCATAACACGGACCGCCCAGTGCTGTGGATTTTCAATAGTCTGCTAAGATGGAAGTTTGCGTGCTGAAAATTGTTGTGATGTGCTATGCAAGGACTTCATTGCGCAACGCGTTCGATGGAGTTATTGAATCGCGCGTTGTTCGCTGGGGGGTTCGGTGGCCGATGTAGGTCCTTTATGTGTCGGAATTTCCCTGCGTACAGCATGCGTAGAACGTGCGTTTCGCTTGTCCGGTTGACAGCCGACGAGCTCGAGCGCGCTTGAGACGGCGTCAGGGCGCAGGTCCAGCTTCCGACCGATGATTAGCACGTGCTTCAAGGCGACTTCAGTTGGCATTGTTGTGTGCTTCCAGCAAGGTAATGACTTCCGATGCCCTCGGGTGGAAAGTATCGGTGACGAAAGTGTACATCCGAGCGTATCTTCCCCCATCTAGGGAGCCGTATGGATACTGGAACTTGCGAATGGGTTGTTGGTCAAGGTGTATATCCATTATACTCATATGAGGGAAAGGTCGTCCCGCAGGTCGCTGGCAGTCTGAAGCGCTGCCTGCCTGTCTGCCCACGATGTGCCCGTGATTGGCTTTCGAAGAGCCGAAAAACCGAGGGACGGCAGGACGAGGACGTCGCAAGAGTTTTGCCCTTTGGATATTATGTTCTGTAACAATAGCCCCTAGTTCGAGCAGAAGCTGGACCATCGATACTAGCGATTCATCGATAGCCACATTCAAGGCACTGTCACTGATACAGGCTCCATGTTCAGCCAGATATCGACACAATCCCTCGTTCTCTGTCCGTACGGCATGCATCATTAGCGTACACCTCCAGTGCAGCTCACGACACACCGTTAAGAGCCTCGGTGCAACGCGCGCGTTGTATTCGACTAACATGCGCATTATGTCCAGACGCCCTTGCTTTGCGGCCTCTTCATAGCAGCAAGTCGTCTGAAAAGTGTCAAGAGCCGGCCCACGATCCAAGAGTAGACGAACGATTTTCTCGTTACCGCCTTTGACGGCTCGTTCAAGCGGAGTCCAAAATCCACATTGAATGCCTGTCACTAGCCTTCTCCCATGTTGGTTACTTGTCACTAGCCTTCTCTCCCCCTGTACCGTCAGCGAGGCAGAAGCTCCGCGATCCAGAAGCCATTCTGCGACGTCGGCTCTCTGTGGGCTACTCCATGCGACGATGCGCAGAATGTTGCTGTACTCAAAGTAACTCTTTGTGAGACGACGATTGCCTCGTGGTTTCCTCTTGAGACCATTATTGTTTTCCAATTGGGATGCCAATAGTTGGAAGAGCTGAGAGCAGAAATCGACCGATCGGCTTCTCAACACTCCTGAGCATATTGCATTCTCACACCAGTCGTATCTAGGGTCAAAATCTGATGAATGTTTACATGGATCCATGATAAACTTTACGACATCCAAAAGCCCTTTTTCAACCGCAGTATCAAAGACTAGTCGTTGAAGTACAATTTGCCTTGGCTGAAAATTTGGACTCGAGAAGATCTTTGTGAGTAACACCAAATTACCACACTCGGCGGCTGTCGCGGTAATATAGTGATTACACAGATAAGCATGACGACACTCGGTCTCGACAATATGCGAAAACATGTCGTCCACAGCTGGGTCATTGAGTGCAGACCTGATTCCTTCTTGACAGTCGTTCACCAGGGCCATCTCCAGGAAATATAGTGAACCACTGAACGCACAGGTCTTGTATCGCATGCTAGTAATACGTGCCTCCTTCAATATGCGCCGCGGGTGCGAACAAAAAGCATAAATATACTGCTTCAAAACCTCGTGCGATATCTCTTTACTCCTTTCTTCGGGGTGGCTCACCTGAAGAAGACGCTCGGCAGCGCGGTATATACCTCGATATAGCTCGATCTTGTTTAATTTCTCTTCGCTCTTTAGCTCAGAAGGGCTCATCTGACCAAGGAAACGCCGGCGGGCGTCATGGGGCATGTCTTGCACAAGGCGTTCGGTAGCACGATGTGTGCGTCCATCTAAAATAGTGTCGTCCCAGTTCTTCCGCATGATCTTATAGGTGAGGTATGGCTGCCAAAATGCATCGAATCGAGACTTCAATTCCAGTTCTGGCTTCGTACGCCACGAGCTCTCCCGGTAATCGTCCAGTATATGGGACTGGTAGAGCGCATTCTTCACTTCTTGAGAGAACTCCTCTATCGAAGTGTCAGCATACTGCAGTGCTGCAATCACAATGGCGGGATGAGAGGGCATGCGTACTATTCACAAGCCTTAACCTCAGCCCGCGCCTGAGACCGCGGACGCTAACGGCGTGTATGAGAATTTCACGTCGTGTCTCCGCCGGTAGATCAGAAAAGTTCGTCATCGTAGAAACATTGAGGGTTGTGGGTGAAAATGAACGACGAGAGGTGGCGGGCAGAACCTGGGGTTGCGCCTTCCGTATTGCATAGCGCTAGGCTGGTTCTGTTCCAGGCAACAGGCAAGGCCACCCGCAATCACAACATCGAGGAAGAGGACACAGATTTCGCATTGATGATAGGATGCTGGTATGGATGGTGGATGGCGCTTCATACCAGTGTCTCATCATCAGGAAGTACACTTCAGCACACCAGTACATCATGGAGGCACTCAAGTCTTTTGCTTCGGCATGTCTAATTGTTACTATGCCCATCAGACAAATTGTACACAGGTGTTGTCGTACAACTCACGCTTGGACATTGTTGGCTCTTCTCATGGACTCACAGCTCACTCGGTACTTTTGCGTCCGAAACCTCTGTCTTCCAGTCCCTCACGGGTCTCGCAATCGAGATGCTTGTACCTCGAGCGCTCGAGATACGACGCTGCACTCCATTCTCGAGTGGCTGAAGGAAGACGTGCGTGAACTCTCTAGCTCGGTGTCAAAGTTTGCTTTCTCGAACCCTGTTGATTTCGACGGTATTGGACGACACGGGGCGAGAAAGTCGCTTTCTAGAGTGTCCGGATTAATCTTGTATAAGTCTAGGCATAGTTGCTTCAACCTTAGACATCCAACGGCGATCTTCCATCGAGACGTTCATCAGCACGTCAGCATGCGCCGGTGTCCCAGACGCATAGCAATGTTCGAATTCATCTGCGATATTGCTGTTTGTAGGAGGAGACGATTGGCACCAGCGACAGCAGGCGACTGATGATGAGTGCAGTGTGATGTTACCGTAAGAGCAGCGCTTTGGTTCTCACTGACTGAATATAAGTGGGCCTCACGCATTGCGCTGCAAAAAGAGTGATAATACAGCGTCTACCCCTTTTACGCAAGCTCAATGAGCTGAGTCGTCCCGAAAAAAAAGAGCACTGTTGCATCTTGCTGCACCGCCTTGCCGTCTATGGACGAGTGCCTGGAGCCAAAGAGCAAAAAGGCAAAAGGAAATTGTATTTGAAAGCTCTCCAACTGGGAATTGAACCCAGGTCTCCCGCGCATTTGTCAAGAGCCCGAAAGCTGGTATGACAAGCGGAAATACTGACCACTATACTATTGAAGATTGCTGATTGGATGGAAGAATGATTTCACTGATTGTATATATTGCCATCGTTCGCGGCGTAGATGACACCAGGCAGCTCTCGAGCACTTCTTTCGAATTCGGTCGTTGGCGGTAGATCGCGAAGAGAATTTTTCGAATGTGGTGTGGAGATAGTGGCGGAATAGGGTCCTGGTGGGGCTATCCTACTCTTCCAATAAACGCCAACCCATCAAAGTAGATAAGCAGAAGCGTGAAGTATTTTCATCTCGATACGATCACGGAATTCATTCCTATCATTTCTACGCTCCTGATTTTAACGGTCATGACAACGATGCGCGCACGTTTGCAGAACTGATTGACAGGAGAAAGTTGTTGAGATTGTGGCCGTGGTATGTTTTGTGATAGAGTTTTAGTATATCTGAAACGTCTTCGCTACGTCTTACCTCATGAGATGACGAGGTCAGAGAAATCTCCAAGTAGCAACCGTCCGGAAGATTGGTGTTATAGACATGAGGTTATGCGGGGTCGATCTTTCGGGAGGGGTCCTTATGTAATCGAACTGATCTAGCATCCTCGGGTAGCTCACACCCCAACCACGTCACGTCCAGCGATTCTCCTCGCGTGGCTAATACGATCTTCGCGCGCTACATGAGATATGCGCCCGTTTTCCTTCGTGATGTGCACTCTTCGCTGGCGTTACAAGTAGCATCTCACGCGCAAGAGCTTCAGGAATCTCACCACGCTTCACCACATTGCTTCGAGGCTGGTCACAACGGATCGAGCATCCAAGCGTAGGGGCGCGATGATCACGTCACATATTGGATAACAAGGAAGAAGCCTGGCAGCGTCACAGCTTGAAGGTAAGTATGTGGAGGTCTATACTAATGAAAGGGTTGAAGTTGCCTCGCAGTAAATGTTAAAATCCTCGATTCTCCAACCGCCTGCGCGCGGTCTGGCGGCCCCTCAGATACGAACACCCTCTTTCATCCCACGACTCGCGATACGTACAAAAGCGAGCGAAGGTGTAAGTGCAAACCATCTTGGCTCATCACCCGTATACATACCTAGCGAGCATGGACGCAGTCCGAGCACATGGCTTCCGAGGTCGCCCGGTGCTTGACCAGCCAATGGAGTCCCTGTCAAACAGCTTTAGTATCGCACAATGAATTCATCAAAGCATATCCGAGGTCCAAGTCAAACTTCCGCTATATGAAGATCAATCGCGGATGCAAGCAGCCAGATCACTCGATGTTTACACTCCAGTGCAGCAATGCAGTAATGGAGTGTAGAGATCATCGTCTCCTGATCATGACTTCTTAGCACTGAGAATATCTAGGTCCATACTCCATCATCAAAACACAGCAAGGCTGTGAAACGAAGCTTAGCTGAATGTGTTCCTCTAGGTGCGGACAGCACGCTGTACAGCGGTGAAAGTCCTTCATATCTAGGTGTGAATGTATATATGTTCACTGTGTACACACACACCCCCCGACTACCTGCTATATGACCAACTCCTCGCAGCGACCTTTGCTCATCTCATTAACCACAACCAGCAGTATCGTACGCCACACAGAGTAAATCACAACCAATCATGGCTGCCATATCTAATTTCACGACTCTTCCCCCCGAGTTGAAGGCTGAAGTCTTCACCTGGATTCGTACAAAACCGGAACGTGCAGTCGTTTGTCTTATAAGCCGTGGATGGAGAGATATCATGGCGCCTATTGTGTGGAAGGAACTCACACTGGATCCCAAAACAATCTCGACAACTAAGCTGACAACATTGATGCTTCCCAACAGTGGTATACTTCCTCACGTCCGCCAACTCATTGCCGATTGGGAACCGTGGTGGAACGAAGATCCGAGCCATGATTTCCACGCCGCAGTCCAAGTCGTAATCGCAACAATACCGAAAAACAGGCTACTCGGTTTTACAAGTAACATGCCTTTTGAGCCGGCCTATCTACTCTCTCTGCTTCGCAACCAGCAAAGGATGAGAAATCTCGATATAGCTTTGGACAAGCCAAAGATAAGTCGTTTCCCCATTGATTTCGGGATCACCATGCATCGATCGTTGGCCACTACTGCGCTACGTGGATTGACAAAGCTCTGGGTTCGCATCGGCTCCGGTGATCACACATACCGAAACAGCGCATACATGATTAGATGTGCTCCAAAGCTTCGCGACTTGTCTATTGACGGCGACGAAGATGAAGAAGGAAACAAGGCTTCTTTCGATACCTTACTCACTTGTGAGGCCCTCGGGGGATTACATGCAGATGACATAACCGTACAGCAACTTCAGCTCTCACGCTTCAACCTACTATACCTCGACTTGGCGACATCCCATGTTGATAAAGCATTTGTCTACATAGATTTTGCTTGCCTCCAATCTCTTTCACTATACTGCTGTCGCAACGTCGAACCATTCCTGACAGCACTCGCAACACGGCAATCACTGGACCCCAGCCTAACTGAGATTGATATATTAATGAAAGGCGACGTGCTAGAGAGCGATATCCGAGCGATTGAGCATCTACTAAGGATCTCCTCTGGTGTTCGAACTATCTGGATAGATGTAGGGAAAGCAAGGCCTGTGGACATTTCGTGCATCACTCGACATGGCAGTACATTACAGCATCTCGGACTGAACATCGACGCGGAAAATACAGCATCATATTACTCTGTCGCCGATCTATCCACCATCTTAAAATCAGCTCCAGGCTTGACTCAACTGGCTGTCTACATCTCTCCCATAGAGATGGGTTGGTCAGGGTTACTCGGCACAGATTTTACCCTTGATGTACTCGATAGTGGTGATACTAGTGTTCCCAATGCCTTGGAGGCATATCTAGTAAGTCATCGTATCTTCATTCTCTTAAACTTGGTCGACTAATCTGATCGTAGGATTGCATCGCACGCCATCGGTCCCTGCATACCCTGCAGATACTCTCGCTACCAAATATCGACTACGACATGTCACCAGATCCCAATCCCACTCTGCAGAACCGACAACCTATTTACAACATCACGGTGCCGACCGCGAGTTTGATGATGCAAAAGCTTGCTGCTGAAGTCATGTGCTTCCTTCACAAGCTCAACTCCCACATCACATTACTTGGGCTCTGCCCACTTTATAATGAATTTGAGCAACCGAAGGCTGATCACAATGGTCACAAATGGCCGAGATACTACTACATCCGTGGCCGTATCTCGGATCCGACGGGCAGAGAGCGTTTCACAGCCGTTCCTTTTGACACTGACAATCTGCCGGATAGCTCGCTGTTGCGCCGCTACTGCGGTGGTAGTACTAGTTGTTAATACAGTCTTCCTGATAACCTACACAGTTTCGGATTCATCTGTCTACAGTTGGTTCTTAAAACTAGTGGGCACATAGAAATATGTGCCGGCGTAACACCGACTGCTGTCGTCATCTGGCTGAACCGCTCGATGTTCAGTCACTTTCACGTTACGAGGATGCGGCAGACTTTGGTCAGAACATGACTGAGAGTGTTGTGTCGGCTACGAGGTGTGTGAGGAGCTGGACAGGTACTACGGGAGACGTATAGCGGGATGAACGCTAAAGATAAGGTGTCTTGTCGCATATGAAAAGCGATCGTGCAGAGGGTATGAATCGGGTAATAGTGACTCAATGCTTTCTCGGGTACTATTCTTCTTCAACATCTCAAGCTCTCGTTCATGATTCCACTTCCCTTCGCGAAATCTCCAATATCTTCTTCAACATTACGCGCAGTTTAGACGCACATCTGCAAACTAGTTAGCACATGTTACGCGACGGAGCATGAGCTTACAGTTAGCAAATAGCGTATACGAATCTGCATTGTTCAGCGCCTGCTCGGTCGAAAGCTTAACCGAAGCATCATATCCATATGCCAAATCCTGCGTGCTTGGGCTGTAAACGCTCGAAGCGTGCGTCGTTTCATGCAAAATCGTAGTTCCTCGATCAAATGTTTTACATCCCGTCGTAATCGGGATGGTGTTAGTGAAGAAGATTGGACAGTACGTGATGGAATTCAGCGTAGGCAAAGTGTACGCGACTATGCTTCCCCCCGAGCAGAAGCTGTACTGGTCTGTACAGTACGATGTCGTTCCTGGTGATGAGGTGCCACAGTCCTGTGCAACTGCGCTCATCCGAGCAGAGACCTGGTTCCTAACGCTTGTTGATGTTGATTTGAAGAAAGTCCCTAGCCTGCTGTCTCCAGCTGCGGCTGCTGTCGCGGCACCAGATGCCAGCTTTTGGCAATTCGATAATGCTGTCCTGAGGTTGGTAAGACGGTCACCAGTGCAGCCGGAGTCGACGATAGTACGTTTCGCTAGTGACTCGCGGGCAGCAGCCGCCTTAGTACCATCAACAGAGATGCTGAGTCTATTGGAGTCGTATCTCAAAGCGCCTACAAGCTCGGTGGAGTTCTCGTTGGCGTACGGTAACACGCCGTTGGCGAATACGTCGAAGCTTCCACCGCTGCTCAGGTCGCGGAATGCACCAGTCTCGACGGCAAACTTTCTCTTGCCCTTGGACTCCAGCATGAGGAAGTCATCGGCAGATAGGGCACTTGGATCAAGCTGAATCGTGACACCCTCAAACGGCACCCTTGTAGCTAAGTGTTTGTCAGCGACAACTCATTCGGCTAGTATGCTAGTGTGAGGACAACCCAGTCTCAAAGAACCGTGGCTTCTATAGAGGCGCGGATGAACGAAGTATTCAATGTGGTCACTCTTGGTTAAGGTAGTGAGAAATGATCTTGCCGCTTACAACCACTGTTAGAGTACAAAGTGACCCGCTCAACAGGTAACGTATCGTCCAGAAGGGTTCCGGTCCTGAGAAGGTTCAAAGTGGTGTCACCGGTGTTGGTAATGACTACCTTAACCACCGTGTTCCCCGAAGCGGTCAGCTGAACATTGAGAGGGTCTTCTGTTTTAAACAAATTGACAGAGGCGGCAATAGTGTATGAAGACAAGGCCAAGAAGGCGATCAGTGGGCTGGCAAAAAGCTTCATATCAGGAGATAAGCTGAGCAAAAGAACTAGACGAACCGATAGAAAGAGTGTGAACTACGATGTCGCATTGAAACACAAGAAGTCTTTATAGCGCAATTCTCACATGTTGTTCAAGAGGCCTATGCAGCAAAATCCATTAATGTAGAGCTTGCATACGAAATGCTAGAAGTTGATCCTTCCGATGGAAATTTTACCAGGTAATAGAATGTGAGACAACAGTGAGCTGGCTCTAGTCTCGTAACCTCCACTACTGTGCCTCCTTATTGCATGAGGCGTAGCAGCTCATGAAGTAGAGTCTTACATATCCACGAGTGGCAGAAGAGGAAGCAAATGGCCATCCCACGCTTCGCTCCACTCCTAATATATTTTGGCTGTTTCTGGCGAATTGGCCGATGCGCATCTAAAATGCGCTCGTGAAAGGTCGTGTTCACGATAAGTACTAGTCTCTTTAGCAGCCGTTTCCAACAAGTCAAAACGATACTAGATAAGGAAGTTCCATATGCAGCCAGCCTTCGGCTGCATTCCTTTGCGTTGCCCGTTCATCCGGGCGTTTAGCGATTTGGGAGCGGGGACCGAAGCAGGCCCAATGACTGCATCCTTTACTCCCAGGAATAGGGAGGCGAACTCTCCCCTATCAGCTCCTACAGTAGTTGAACCCAGACCTTGTCACTCTTCGGTGGTAAACACAATAGGAGAAAACGGCAACGTTGCAAGAACTGCGGGGAACAATAGATGCGTTAGCGATGTTCATGCAGAACATCGGGTGCGTACGGCAGCCTCGAACATCTTGTATCAGTTCAAATCTTGAAAAAGGCCATGTTATTACGTACTAAAGCCGCTCGTAGTAGAAAGATGTAAGGTTGCCCAAGAAGAAGCCAAACATATTGAGGGCTTCAACCACATGACGTCAGCGGGGCAGATTGCAGAAGGGCCAACTACTGCGAGGAAACACTCTGTTTCAGAACCAGATCCGATAGATCCAGCGCATGTATAGTCTTCGACTTGATGAAAAAGGGACCAGTACATATGTAAGCTTGCCCACTGTCCCGTTACCCACGAACCTGTTCAACCCGATATCGCGCTTTCTACCGATACACTCCGAATCCAGGAAGTACTTCAGCTTCAGCGGCACATTATACATACCTATATGTACTTCTCATGCACGCATATTGCGACTTTAGTGTTCTCAGAAGTGTATATCAGAACTAAGAGCATTCACGATGTTGTTCAGGTAAGGGAGGAGATATATACCTTAGCACGCACCTTCTATACTCCCCTTTCAGGGTTCTGTTGCATGCCTTCTACAAAGCACATCAAGGACCAAGGTAGGATAGAAGAAAGCCAGATATTGAAATTGAAATGGTGAATTTCAAGAAGATTAAACAGTTATACTACTTCAATAACGATCTACTCTTTACTCGACAATAGTTACCGCAGTAGGTGTGACATCAAACTCCTGCTCGGGCGCAACGAACTGGTTGTAGATCGCCTCGTGAGAGCCAGTGAAGTTGTATCCAGTTCTGCAGGTCCATCCATTAGTCACATGTTCACTTTTTCTTGAGAGCAGCAAGGTACAAAGAAGACTTACGTGTTCAACGGTTCGTAGGGAGCCTTCTCAAAGCTCAACAAGATCTGGTCTGGAGAGCCACTGGTGTCGCTAGTCCTCTCGCTGAATTTTGCAGAGACACCGTTGTTGACGCCCTCCAAGATGCGGCAGGGTGCGTACCAGTTGCCCTTGCGGTACCAGCCGTTCTCATAGCCGGAGCAGTATGCCTTGACACCGAGAATCTCGCCCTCGATGCTCGGTACCGAGATGTTGAAGTCATAGTAGCAGCCACTGCGTGCGCAGCCGGCTGACCACCCCTCGACGTGCCACGTCCAGTTGGATGGGATCTTTGGTTGCTCGGTTTGGGTGGTGGGAGCTGCGATGGCGCCGGCAGCGAATGCGAGGAGAGTTGTGAAGGAGACCATGTTGACGGATCTGGTGTTGTGGGTCGGCAGGTTGAATATATGGGAGATTAATGTGTTGTGGTAAGCTTCTGTCGGGTCAGAGTCTGGTTATGTATCAAACAACTCTTCGAGGGTCATCTGACTCTTATACTAGAATTCAACGCATCGTGCGGAATTTGTTTCCATGAACGACATGTTCATGACCCGAGCGTACCGACTCCTATTCTTCGTCGGATATTTGGCCGCGTAAGGTGTCACTGGTGTATCCAAGCGTGCCACCGAAACGGCCCGCAGGCTGCCGATCTCAGTTGAGGTGCATCCTTTGGTGATCAAACTGCGCCGTTGGACCTTACCAAACGTCATCCCATATACTAGTAGTGGCGCCAATACGAGGCTGGTGCTTGGCCGGTAGGGCTTAACGTCGGGGTAATGAGTTGGTGTCTTATTTTCGGAGCTGGTGCCCATTGTACGAAGGAGCTAGTTCTCCGGACAAGACTCGGACCCTCTGCGCTTACGTCATTAGTCGTACATCTACATCATGGCGCCTGCTAGAAACATCTTCGTATCTTTTCACACCACGTTGTTTTGTCCGTCATTTGAGCCACGAGCTGCGTGTTGAGGAAAACTACGATGCGCCTTTTTCTATCTCTGCATGTCGTTTTAGTGCGACATTCTATGGTTGACTAACTGGCTGGGCAGGGTAGCGTCTACAGCTGGAAGCGGCTCGGAAGAAAGATGTATCCGGCTGGGACGACCTTCAGATTTTGACATGCCAAAGACAGTAACATGCTGAAGAAGTACACAGATCTAAGCCTGTAGGCAGTCAGTGGTTTACGTTGACGCTGCCTCGATCGGACATGTGCAAGATGCCACTTATCATCCTGAGCAGGCCTTAGAGAGTCATCGAGTCGTCACTGGCACTTTTTCACTAGGTCATGCACTCGGCATGCCATTACAGTCCTGAGGAGATACACAATCTTTGTTGAGATTCTATGGATTCCATGAACTAGACATGAAACGTGCAAGTCAAGCGCTCCACTCCATCATCCTGTTGGCGTTCTCTCTCCTTCAAATGCCTTGTTTGATCGCACGATACTACGTGCGAAAGTAGTTGTCGTTCCTAAGTTCTATACTTCTAGGAAATACTCTCAAGTTACACGCCATGCATTACTGTTGAAAGGCCTTTAAAAACACGACAAAGACCTTTAGGGCACCGTAAGCATCTTCACTGTGAAGGTGAAGGATGAGAGAAGGACGCTAACCTGCCTGCGCACGGCCCGCTTGATTAGAGAGAGCAAACGAACTCTCTCACAAGTGTCAACAAAACACCACACGCCACTGTCAAGACTAACTTGCACTCCCTCGATCCCCAGTATCTAGCGCGGCGAACCAACCCTCCCTCATGATGGCCGACCCAGGCATCACCGCCACGTTCTCCGATCTCCCGACTGAGATGAAGGCGACTATCTTTGGCTATCTTCAACGAAACGATCACAAAAGGTCGGCTTGCCTTGTGAGTCACAGTTGGAGAGATATAATGGCGCCAATCCTCTGGGAACATCTTACACTGAGAGTTGCAACCAGCTTACCAGGGGAACTGGCTTGTCTACTGAACCCAAATGACGGAGTCCTTGCCCACGTGCGTTCTATCGACATCCTTGAAGGACTGGACGGCACGGCAGAGGTTGAGATGGATTCCGAATTTGGGGTTGCTTTTCAATTCATCTTTGGCGCCCTTCAAAAGAATTGCCTTTCGACACTCAGATTCTATATTCACATCAGCATGACTACACTGCTCAGAGTCCTTCAACCTCAGCAAGCGCTCAAAACACTTCGTCTTCGAAGCTTACCTTCCGGTGCAAGCCCCTCTAGCGACTTGTGTCTCGCCTCGCATAGTTCATGGGTCACGCCTACGTTGCGCAACATTAAGAACCTTTTCATTCCCATTGGTGATGGGGAGCATAACGCGTACGAGAACAGCGCCTATCTTCTCAAGAGTACACCAAACCTCAAGAAACTGACCCTATGGGGCCTCCCTAATAGCTGGTCTTTACATGACTTGCATGGAAAGGATGTCTTTGGAGGGCCAGGACCAGGTCTTCAGACTCTACAGCTGGACCGCCTTCATCTTCATTGTCTGATTCTCAAGACGTACCCTGCTTCGTTGTTCACAGTCATTGATTTCTCCGTTCTTCGCGAGCTCTCTGTCACGCGATGCTGCCGCCAAGTCGGAGCCTTTCTTACTGCTCTCGTTCCAGGGGTATCGAAAGTACCGTCTTTGAGAAGGCTAGAGATAACGGTAGCTCTTATTTCAATTCCCTCAGACGATGCTCTGGAAGCGATCGAGGCTCTGGTGACATCCACTTCTTCCCTACGGGAGCTTTGGTTGGATGTTGGTAAAGAGCGTTTGATCGATGTAGCATGCCTGGCTGGATATGGAAATACGTTGAAGGGTCTTGGTCTAGCAGCTTCATCGAGAACGCAAGGTCCATACTACTCTGCCCTTGATCTTGATAAGCTACTGACACAGGCGCCAAAGCTTGTGGACTTAGCAGTCAGTCTTTGCCCGATCAACCTTGGTCACGTTCGGCATCTTGGTGCTAAGTTCAAGCTGTTCAAGCAAACCGGTAACGACTACGTTCTCAGTGAAACAGAATTCCTCTTAGTACGTACGTAATCTCCATACATAAGCCAATTGCTAATAAATGGACCAGATTCGTATTGCGAAACATCAAAACCTCCAGTCACTGCGGATTCTCACACTACCCAGCATCGATTATGGAATGATTCCAAACCCGAATATCGTGAAGGGAATTGACCTTCCGGATGAGCACGTCTATACCTCAAAAGTAATGATGCAGGCATTTGCTACAGAAGTCTTTCGTCTGCTCGCTAGAAATGGGTCCAACATCAGAGCTCTAACCATATCGCCGCAAGTCAGGAGTTCTACTAAACGACCTGTGTCCGATGACAACGGACACCGTTGGCCCCGCTACTATTACAGATACGACGTAACTGGTGCCATGAGCGGTCAAGAGCACGTTGTTGCTGTCCCGACACGTCCGGCTGAGTTTCCAATCTCCGTCCCGCCTTGAGACAGGCAGCTATGGAAGACGGCTTAGCTCCGACGAAAGACAGCTGGGGAAGGAAGTGAGAAATCGTTCAAGACACCCAGGTCGTATCATTATCTGAGGCCAGGTTCCGGTACTGTATAGAGATGTCAAGGCGGAAAATTCGGGTTGAGTGCTGATAGAAGAGCTCACCAAGGCTGCGAGATTGGAGGTCATGACAGTATTGCTTGAGAAAGAAGACTTTCCAACATCTCATCGGTAGCGTAGCAGCCATAGTACTCCAATACATCACAGTTCACCAACAACATAACCAAACAAACATGTAAACCGAGACTTCATAATCTTCATTCATCATCATAGCAGGTATATGCCTTCCTGGCTTCAAGCCTTCCCATACCACACACACCTTCTGAATAACCCCCCCAGGTGTTCCCAAGTTTTTGCCTCCATTTTGACATCAACCCTCAATCATATCTACAAATACAAAGACGGTCGCTAGATACGCCGCCACAAAAAAAAAAGCCAAGTCGTACCCACGCCCATAGAGCTGTGGGAAAAGAGACACAAAAGACACGCTCGCAGTGCTGAGAGACAGAACATAAGACAGAACAAAGATGGCTAGAAGAGCTGCGCGAAGCCATCAAGGCAACGCCGCTTTGAAGTTTGGATTCACCGGTCCTCCCGCCCACTAAGTGGCAGGTTGAGCCCCAAACTCCGCGCCGCCACGACCCCTTGGTGCACCTCCACGACCACGGTATCCGCCGCCAAAGCCGCGACCACGTCCACGGCCGCGTCCACGACCTCGACCACCACGGAAACCATCGACGCTGCCCTGGCCAAAGGTCTCCATGTTCTTCTGGCGCTCTTGGCTCCTGAACTCTTGGCCACGCGTGGCAGCCTCTTCCCTATCCTTGAGTTCGCTCGAAATGTTATCGAAGAAAGAGCTCTTGTCGTACATGGATCCACCAGGGATGACGACCTCTTCTTTTTCTGTGGTTGCGGCCTCGACAGCTGGAACGGCTGGAGCATCACCCATTGGCGAGCCAGAGGCGATGGCTTCCTTGATCAAGTCCTGCTTGTTGAACTTTGCGTTTGCGGACTCAAAATCGAAATCGGTTGTGGGCACCTCCATCTTGGGGTGTTGCGGATGAGCGCCACCCCGTCCTCCTCTTCCGCCTCGACCGCGGAACTCGCCTGTTCCTCGCTGACGGGGCTGGTGCTGACGGCTCTGTTGATCGCGCATGCCCTGTACCTGTTGTGCCAGGTTGTTCATGGGATCTGAGACAGGAGGTTGACTTGGTGGTTGGCCTTGCGCCTGGCCCTTGTTCTGTAGGTTGAGCTTGGCCATAGCCTCGGCGACAGCGGCAGTTGCTAGTTGAGTAGCATTCTGCTGCTGAGCAGCACTGGGCATTTGTACGGGAGCGGCAGCACCTTCTTGGGCATGAGGCGCCGTCTTTGCTGCTCTCGGGCTTGGAATCGGAACAGCGGGGATGATTCGTCCACCCTTGGGTCCGCTAGGCTTACCCTTGGACGGCGGTTGAGTGGTTTGAGGATGGGGTGGTGCCAACGCAGCCGAAACATCGGGCTTTGAGTCGACTGGTGGTGGAGGAGCCTGCTTACCAGCAGCAGCCGGCGTTGGTGTTGAGCCAGATGCCTTCGCGCCGTTCTTTTGTTGTGGCTTGGCTGATGCACCATCTGCCTCGGCGACCTTTGGTTGCTGTGGCTGACCTGGCTTCTCATCCTTGCCTGCTTGGGGACCTGACGGGCCCCGTTGACCTTGTGGGGGTTGGTTTTGGTTCAAGCCGGGAGGACCAATGGGCATGTTAGGCGAGAACGGACCAGGAGGCTGGTGAAAGCCTTGGCCTGGAGGGAACCAGCCTGGAGGCGCACCAAATGGAGGCGGAGGCATGCCAAATGCGCCTGGTGGGCCTCCAGGACCTGGGAAAGGCCCTGGACCGCCAGGGAAACCACCTGGAGGACCGAATCGGTTGCCATATGCACCACCAGGGCCGCCAGGTCCACCGAAGGGAGGGTATCCACCAGGTGGGAATTGACCTGGTTGAGGAAAATTCGGCGGCGGTTGTTGGCGACCGGCAATGTCTTGTGGACTGCCTTCTTGCCGCGACTGGGGTTGTTGTACCTGTGGCGCATGCGTCGCGTCAGCTTTGCTTCCAACAAAATGTGACAGGAACAGATTGTAGGTAAGGATCTCAGAAGGAAGGCAACGGAAAATATCCACACGGTTTTGCGCTCTCGGTGGTTTAAATGATTTACATCCGAAAATTTTACATCATCGAAAAAGGAAAAGGGTGGTGTCATAGACTTACTCCGATGATGGCTGGGTCCTGGGGCATTGCAGGCTGGGCCTTCTCCTTGACAGGCTCTTCAATGCGCAGATCCTTCACATCGCTGCCTCGGAAGACAATCTGCTCGTAAACGACGTCCGATGGCGGGTATTCGTCTTTGCCGCCCTTGCGCCCCTCTGTGCCAAAGGAGCGCACATTGTCTAATGAGACTGTGGAGGCTTCTGAGTTGATCTCAACGAGAGTGCCGACATAGCTGCGGGATGTCAGTCGCGTCGCACAATGAACCGACGCGATGTCAAACTCACCGGATGTCGCTCTTTGAGATGAGAGAAATGCGAGATCTACGCGTCCGACGTCAGCTGGAGCTCCAGCTCGAATTGGAGAGCTGCGACTAACCCGATGAACTCGGACATGGCTGTGTAACGTGGGTATCAAAACGGGTATCGAAAGGAATTGAAGCTCAATGAACAAGGAAAGAAGGCGGGAAAGTGGGTGTGAAGGGGTAAAGTGGTGGATGGAGGAGTGAGGGGTGAGAGAAGGTTGGAGAGCTCCGTGGTCGTGGGCTGAAGCTGAGAAACTTGGCGCACGTTTAGCGAGGCGTAGTCTGGAAGCTTGAGCCTCATTCATCCACCTCGGGCTACCTTTACCCCACAGTACCACCACCAGTGTGTACAAGCCCGATAGGCTGCATCCATGCTTCGCCGTAGCAGATGAACCCACGTATCTTTAGGCCCTTGAGGTCGTGACTTGTTTGCTCTCTCTAGAGGTTTCTATACTTGGACCAGGCTTCCTTGTTTGGGCTTCTGATTGCCCTCGTCCTCGCCATGAGCGTTACCAGTACTACCGAGGACGGCCTAAACGACATCTACGAGGCCCTAGATCGCTACAACTGGGACGATGACATCGAGTTCCAAGCCGGTCTGCAAGCCATCATTGGCAGCAACAGTACTCCAGAGCAGACGACGGAGCTAGCATTGCGCGCGCGATGCTTTTACTATGCGAGGTGCGCCACCATGTCACCTATACAACCATAGACAGTATGCTAACAACTCTCCAGGAAATACAACAAGAACATAGACTTCAACGCCTACAAAGCCTACCGCAATGCGCGTAACCGACCTCCTCCAACCCCGCCAACACCCCACAACGTCCTCGCCTCCTCGGTCGTCGACGAAATGCTCCCACCCGGCACCGCTACACCCAATGCGTCCACAACCAGTCTGCCTATGAGCACAACTAGCGAGCTGCCTCCAAGCACCGAGGCAAGCGGTATCATGCCACCGCCGACAACCACAAGCGAACCACCCGCGCCATACCCAACGTCATTTGCGCACATCGTCGAGTTGATTACGAGTGGGAAACCGGTGCCGGGGATCAAAGAGATTCCCCCTACCGTGTTGGAGGGACAGGGCACGCAGCCGAGTAAGCCCAAGAGAAAGAAGCCGTGGGAGAAGGATGAAGCTTGACATGTTTTGGAGGGTGGCGTAAGACGCATAAACAATACCCATGTTAGAACCGGTTGCAAGGCATATCACATGATTGGCTATCCAAGATATGACAATATGATGCATACAATTCCAATACAGCCTATACACGCTATGCTATCTGCGCACATCCAATTCCGACATACAAGATTTTCCCATCCATCCCGAATCCAATCCCAAAACAGCAACTGGGGTATATAGCAGAACCAACCTCCCAACCATACGCCCAATTATACACAAGAAATCCTTCCCAAAATACAGCATCTTCCACCCCTATGCTGTCAAGCGAAACGAAACAGACTGCTACAAGACAGCCTCAAGAATCTTATCCTTGAGACTCTTGACCTCCTCTTCCTTCTCCCACAATCTGCGTTGTGCGTCGAGGAACTTGGTCTTCCACGCCGCTGGCGTCTCGTTCCTTTCCAACTCATCACTTGCTCTTGAACTCTCTCCTACAGCTTCACCAATCTCCTCCCCTGAACTGCTTATCTCAAGGCCCTTGACAACCCACTCCCCCACCAAACCCCCAAAGTTCACCCCGAAGAAAACATCAAATGTCTCTTTAATCCGTGTCCCATCGCGCGGGCTCTCCCCCTCTTCATCTTCGTCATCAACAGGTGACTCGTACCCATCTCCGCCAACACGGAACCGTATACATTCTACACGCCGCACGCCTCCTGTCGGTCCGCCAATCCCCACACCAACCGCAGAAGTAAGACCTAGACAACTCGCTATAGCTACACCGAGAGCAGAATCGGACATGACCTTGCTGTTCGCGGGAGAAGTCGAGGAAGAATGGCCAGATGCGGGTTTTGAGTAGAGCGGTTGTAAGATGGCTGTAGCCAGTGTTTTCGCTTCGTTGCCCCTCAACCGTTTGCGGCGGTTGGTTAGTGGAGCGCGGATCAGTTCTGCGGCTAGAGCGCGGTTGATCGTCTCGGGTGCAATAGCCGGCAGTGGGGATGTGGCGGTTGAAATGTCTGCTGGAGAAGTCTGCGAGCGCGTTGGTGGTGGCGGTCTCGTCTGCGCCGGTGTTTCCGAAGGCGTAAGTGCTCCGTGGTATGTCTGGTGTGTCGGTCTATCGGGTTGTTTTTGATACATACTCTGTTGCTCATATTGGTGATGGGCAGGTGAGACTTGGGTTGAAGCGGCGCTTATTGGTGAGGGGCCTAGATTCGTGCCTGGGGAGGAGTTTTCCTCGCCGTTTACGAGGACGGTTGGAGTGACGAGGCGTACAACAGGGTTTCCGACGTTTGGTGGCACTTGCAGACTTAGGCGTTGTTTCTGGGGCATGCCGCCTGTGAATTGGCCTTCCATTTTGGAGGGCGAGATGGCGGATGCGGGGGTTGGGGGGAAGCGGAAGGAGTTCTCAGGAGCTGGGGGGTCGGATTGCGCGCGCTCAACAATGGGGGTTAGATTGCCTGGTGTGCGGTCGATGGGTGGTCCTTTCGTTTTGGGGTTGGCTGGGAAGGTAGTGTAAGGTCCGTCTCTTATTGAACGGTTTTGTGGAGGTCGACCGCGTAGCTTGCCAGTGGACGAGGTATTACTGGCTGACCATGCCGACGACACAGCAGGACCGTGACGTCGACGAGAGCGCGACCTCGCACTGGACGGGGTGACAGCAGACTGGGGCTCATCGAAGAACGGATATGCAGACTGTGGGGTTACAGCGGAGAGTGGGTGAGGGGTCTGAGGGGTGTCTTGCGTGTTTAGTCGCCACCGTATATGCTGTCCAGACATTGGAGAATCTGAATACGGAGTCAGATTACTCTGACCTAGACGACTTGGTGCTGAAGCTGCTGTCAAAGCTGAAGAAGGCGTGACGGCTGAGACTGAAGTCCATGGGTCTTGAGGTGTGAGAAAGCCGCCGTGGATGTTGTTGGGATGGGCGCTTGTAGGATACGCTGATTGGGGCTGCAGCACGTTGCCAAACGGTATTGACGTGTCCAACTGTGGGCGCTTACGAGCTGGTGTGCCTTCATCGAAATCAATATCGTCATCCCCATCTTCGGCTTTCCGTCGTCCGCGCTTGGGTTTGAACTTGGGATCGAGAGCCCGGATAGCCAGGTCTTCCTCCAGAGGAACCCCATCACGACCTTCACTCGGAAATGGGTTGTGGGGATGGGGTATTTGCAAAAAGTAGGGGTGTTGCTTGCCCAGCAGGTACTCGAAGAAGGCGTCGATGTGCATGGCGCGCATCCATCGCTGTTGATAGTTAGCAGAGCTCAGGAGGACTGAGGTGTCAAGTGGTATCGCAAATTCAAGATGCCTAGGTCGCGACAAGAAATCCTGCGCACTCCTCTGCCTTGCAGAAACCACAACTGCGACCCAGTCGCGAAGTACAATTCATTTCAGGTACGTCAGTCCTGTAAGTGGCTCGGCTCGCATACTGCGCCGGATACCAACTAGATGGTCCCGATCACAATGAGGCGTTGGAGGCTGATATCGACTGCGCCGCACGACCCGGATGACATGCATGAACACAGTGTTGGAACCAATGACGCCAAAAGACAAAAAGACTGAAGAACCAATGTATTGGTATGAAAACGACTCGGCGATTGCCGGCCACAAGGAAGGACAGTGAATTGAAGAGCTCTTACCTTTAGCCTGACGGAGTACTGCTGCACCTTCTGCGTGCTTTGCCCTTCATCCGTGTTTGGCGGCTTGACTCCCAGATCCAAGGCCAGTTGTGTCCATGTTTTGATTTCTTTGGCGTCAAACTTGCGTATCAGCTCGAAGAGGGTCCATGTGCTGAAGGCGTTTCCGTCGCTCTTTGGCGGCGTGCGAAACAGCTTGACGAGTTCGCTCGTGTCGATGGTGGTGGGGAAGTTGGGGTTGCAGTAGAGGATAAAGGTCGCGTAGGCATGGTCGATGGTGTCGTCGGACACGTCGCGCGATGGAGTGTCGCGGTCGGCGGGCTCGAAGTGCGAGGTCACCTGGCGCGGCTGGCTGGTGGGGGAGATTTGGGCGAAGCGCGGCGAGGCATTCGCAGACGCTGGGGGAGTCTGGGAGCTGCGCATGTCGCCATAGAAGCCGTGGCCGAGGTGACTGGCATTTTCGGGCTGAAGTAGATGACTGGACTGGGCCTGATGGGGGACCGCCGACATGGGCGTGTGCACATTGCGGCTGGCACCTGTGCTCTGCTCCAGTCCCGGATCGATTGCTGGTACACGACCGCCGCCTGGGTGCCGAAAAGGCGAGTAGGCCGGCCCGCTGCCAGGCCCGGAGTGTTCGTAGTGTTGGTGGGCGTTGGCTGTCAGGTGCAGACTGTGCTCCGTCTCTGCCTCGTCGCCAAAGTCGACCTGCATGGTTCTCCACGGTGTGTCGCGCTCTGCTGCTTCCTCGGCCCGTCAGCTTGCCATGAGAGCCTGGGGATGAATCGCGACCGCGCTAACACCAATAGCAGGCCATGGATATAGCCCGTAGAGAGTGATCAACGCCCAAGGTTTGCTTCTTCAGCCCCCAGAGGGATGTCGCGGGCAGCGGCTGCTGTCGCAACGGGGCCTGCGAGTCCAGCACGAACAGGTCCAACGATAGGATGCGATGCGCCCAGCGCCGTCGCGAGATGTTTCCCGCCGCGAGATGTTTCTCGTCGCGAGAGGGTGATTACGTCGTTTGCCGTGGCAGCGCGCTATGAGGTCGCGTCGTCGAGGGTCCAGCGGGTGGTAATTTGCGGTCCTTCAGGTGTTATGGCGGGTCGTGCCTGCCTGCTTCGGGGCATTTTGGTCAGTTATGACAGCTGAGCGGGTACCCCAGCATCGTCGCTTCTATTTTTGGATCCTCCAAACGCACCACCTCTGACCACACCCCATGTCGCTGCACCATCATCACCCCTACTGTCCCTCTTCTGCACGCTGACTGGCTGCCTATTTACACTCTGCCATGAACATGCGACAAATGTGCATCGAGTGGCAAGCACCCCAAGCCTCTCTAGGACTACCTACTACCCTAACCGGCATGCGCCGGCCAAACCTCGCTCTGGGCATATTGCCACTACGTTCGACTACAACGCTATCTGGGGCCGATAGTCGTTTTGAGACGATAAAGAGTCTAAAAAAGCATCATGATGCGAGGAAGAGGCAAGGTACGGTATATGCATAGCGCTTTCATCCCAAGCTAGGAGGCGCCCGGTATCTAGAGCCAACAGCTAGTCCTTTGATCATCTCTGTTGAAGGCAGGCCAACTCAGGCACAGTGTTTCCTCATAGTACTCCATTCATGCCATGGTCCCAGGAACATACATCCCATATTATTTGGAAACAAAAGGACCGCCATCTTCCTGCTATACGTCTCTCCAGCATACGGGAAAAAGACTTCAGCTACTCCAAGTCGAATGTCATTAACATGTCACTAACATACGATCGAAGTTTCGTATCAACACTCCAGCCGACGACAGAGAGTAATGACGCGTATCAACGCCATCTCGACTTCCCAACTGAGGTTCCACTACACCCTTCTGCTTCTCAAGACTACCTTGGTAAAATCTATCATGATGACATGCACTGATCTTTCCTTCATCAAGCTGAAAAGTAGATCACAACAGGTACCTCAGAGGTGCCATATGTTCACTCTCGCCTCGACTCGCTGGACTTTCTACCTCCTCTGTTCCGGGTGCATCTCAAAAGAAATGAGCTTGTTCCCAGGTGACGACTGGCACTGATGTCACAGGGTTCGCAAAACTGCTTGATCTGGGTGGCACGCAAACGGCAACAAACATGGCGCAATCAGGAAGAATCTGCTTATTATACGGTCTGGAACGCCTTCTCGACTGATCAATTCAGTGTTCAGAAGCTATGAGCACCTTCGCTGATCTACCCGTCGAGATGGTCGAATACGTGTTCACCTTCGTACGCCAGAGACCCGACCAAGGCGCTGCCTGTCTGGTCAGTCGCTCATGGAGACATCATATGGCACCTAAGATGTGGGAAAAGCTCCAAACCAACTTGAGAGAATCTGGTGGCCGCTCTTTGAGAACGTTACTGAAAGCGGATTCCAATATCTTGCCCCACGTACGAGAACTGAAGATATGCAGCCTGACGTCTATGGACGACATGGAGGACATGGAAGACCGTCTGAGGCTGTTGGTAGCAGCGCTTCCACGCGACAAACTTCGTATGATTTATTGCACCTACTACATCACGGACTCGACCTTCCAGCAGTTGTTGCTTTCGCAACGCAAACTCGAAAGTATTCAAGTTGATACTACGTTTACGAATCTTGACCAGACAAGCGACTCTCACTTTCTGTTTCACGACTATCACTCATGGACAGCCTCGATGATGTCCGAAGTGAAGCAGATAAAATTTGATATCGGTATGGAGGAGGATGGACAAGCCGAGGAGACCTTCAGAATCTTGCGCAAAGCCTTCGATGAATGCCCACGACTAGAAAACCTCATATTGATCGACCCAATGGCGTTCCAAGACTCTCTACAGGATATACTCTCCTACGCAACTGGAGGCCAACTATTCTTCCAACTCACATCTGTGACCTTCGAAGGATTAAATCTCGTGCCAGATCGCTCACGGCCATTCTGTCACAACTTTAACATCACGAACTTGCAGCAGATGAATCTTAAGTTATGCGAAAATGTTATTCAATTTCTGGACAGCCTGACCAAGTCCTACTCTGAGATGTCTGGGGCGCTGAAGGTGCTGTCAATCGAGCTGCTAGAAGACGATCCTACGCCATTGGAAACCACAAGCTCTATTGAGGGGTTTCTCAAAGCCTGTCCCAAACTTAAGGACCTCTGTCTAGTGCTTGCTACATGCCCCCTTGTAGGCAAAGACTATCTCTTGTCTCACGCGGACACACTGCGTTCGCTTGTCGTTAGCACCTGGGGGCCTGAGCAGCGCGTATACTCAAAACAGGATCTAGGAAGCATCTTAAAGGCCTGCAAAAGGCTTAAATGTCTCGCGATCAACTTCCCGCGGATCAGGCTGGGGTCTGTCACCAAGCCAGGTCGAGATCTCCGCTTCAATGAGAGTGAAGAGGGCGCCGAGGGCCTTCTGGTGCGTAGTCCAAGTCCGACCGTTTCTTGGTCCCTGCTAATTGGCATCGCAGGCTCAGATTTCGCGATACTCTTCGCTCCACACTCTTGGAATGCTCAACTTGCCTGAGCTCACATTCGACTATTACCCGAAAGACCACCAAACTCCCGCAATGGTGCCAATCAAGCCATCCTTCAGTCCTACAATTCAGTCATGCAGAGCTTTGCCAACCAGGTCTTTCGCTACATGGCGCAGCACGGCACATCTTTAAAGGTCTTTCACGTCGAAGCTGAGAGTGTGTTTGGAAATTCAGCAGACCTGACCGTTGTTCCGGTGTTTCATAGCTGGCATGATTTCACTCACATCAGCGGAAATGTCCAAGACGGATCTGGCATTGATGTAGCAGTGCGAGTGCCATTGGAGGCTGCGCGCAGAGAGTTTCCCAGCGACTTCATCATACAGAACTTTGCCAGAAAAGGATCGCATATCTAGAAGTGTCGATTTTCTGCATTTAATGACGTTGCTAAGGATTATGCTGAGCTACTAGTGCCATAGCGTAAGAGTTCTGCTTGACGTGCATAGATATGATAGAGTCAGGAAACAAAGATGCAAGAAGAGACAATACATCCTTTGCACTGACCATACTGTCCATACCCTCTTTGAACTTCGTTCACTCTTAGACATCGTTTTCATCCAACAACGGGCCAGAGGTAGCTTTGGATTGGCTAGTGATAGAAGGCATCCAAGCCGTATGAGATGCTTACGAAATGTTACTGTCGGGTATATGGTGTATCCTATGTCGCAAATCTACCAAGTCACTATGTATACCGTCAGCAAGAACTTGAAATTGTTGGACAGAAATTCTAAAAAGACTTCTCCGTACGGTTGTTGCTGCCCGACGACGCGTGAGTAGTATAGCGCGGTGAATGACCCTTTCCGTATCTGTAAGTCTTGGCTGAAGGTAAACACTGCACGAGCCATGCTCTCTCACTCTCACTCTTACTCCCACTCAACTCACTGCAAAAAAGGTTTTCTCTTCTCGACAAGAGCAGCAAGCCCACGATCGACACTGCATCGGCCACTCCTACTCCTGTTCATGGCGCCTGCTACCTTCTCCGATCTGCCATCTGAGATGGTCGGTAATGTGTTCGCTTTCGTAAGTCTGGCCACTTAACAGCTTTCGAAGGTGCAGACATGCTAACAACATCATTTAGGTACGACAGAAGGCTGACCAAGGCGCAATCTGCCTTGTCAGTCGCGCATGGAAAGACCATATGGTACCCATGATGTGGGAGGAATTTGAGACGGACTTGGACACCGTATCCCCTCACTCCATGGTGACATTGCTACGTCCTCGCTCAGGTATTTTGAGTCACGTTCGGGAACTGACTGTCCATGGAACAAAAAAGGGAGAAGATCGGTTGAAATTAGTCATTGCAGCCATTCTTCAAGATAGGGTTCGTGGTTTCTGGACGTTCATCAATCTGGACAGCCTGACATGGTGCCTTCTACTACTGTCTCAGCGTAACATCCGATGGATGTGGCATTCCCCGTGGCCCACTAGTCCTGGCTATTTCGAATCGTCTGAGCTCGACTCTGAAGAGCACCAAGAATCGATAGATTCACTATTGCCTGAGGTCTCATCGATCGGGTTGGAGGTACAAGCAAGCGGAGCCTCGAATGAGTGCGTGCTCAACAGCATCAAGTCCATCTCTCGCTGTTGTCCGAAGATAACAGCTCTTACGCTGTCCAAAAACCTCGATTCAATTTCCGAAGAGTCTGAAACCTCTTTGTCCGCGCTGTTGAACCACCTAAACGAAGCTCCACTGTTCTCCAACCTTACAAAACTACGACTCTGCTCGCTGGACATTGCGACGCCGGGAGACCAAACGCTATGCAAGAACTTCAATATATCTCAGTTGCGTATACTTCACATAATAGAGTGCGACTACCTCATTCCTTTCCTAGAAGAATTATCTTCATTCTATATCGACTGTACCGGTAGATTGAACGAGCTCATAATCCTCCTTCCTGAAGACCTAGCTCAGCCGCTGGGAACCTATCAAGCCATGGAAAGACTGCTCAGGATTTGCCCCAAACTCCAGATTCTCTATATAGACTTCGAAGGGTACGGGCCCGTTGCCAAAGATTGTATCTTGGCTCACTGTCAGACGCTCATCTCGCTTCAGATAACCTTTGGAGAGGACGAATGGGACAATACCTTTACTGAATACATGACATCCATTTCGGGAGCTTGTACCAAATTGGATAGGCTGGCGATCGACATGCCGAATTTGGATGCGCATGCACATGATATTCCAGGTTTCAAAGCTGGTATTTCCTTTCCTGCGGATTTTGCGGATATGTTGGCAAGTTTCCATTCGCCCTCTTGACCACTCCGCCGCTAACAGATTTCCAGACTGTGATCTCCAAAACTACGACTATACGGGCTTTCCGAATTTTCACTGTAACTAAGCATGCCGATGACGAAGATTTACTCTTAATGCGGCATGAGACTCTTCGTCAGGTACTGATGCAGAACCTTGCCAACCAAATTATGCGATTCATGGCTAAGCAAGGATCCAACCTGAAGATTCTTAGTTTCAAACCTGCGCAGGTGAACGAGGAACTCCCAGGTCAAGAGCTTGTCAGGGATGGAAATGGCCACCGATGGCCGGAATATCATTACTGCCGTGGCCATGCGACCGACATTACAGGCACAAATGTCGTGATTGCGCATCCTTCGAGAAACATAGCACTGGAGTTCCCAGGTCTTGCAGAGTTCTTCTATTAAATGTGATCCTGTTCACAGCATCATGTCAGATTGGAGCTACGAGAAGACGCTGGAACTGCGAGATGGATACCAGGATACAATTGTCTTCAGCGGCCTCTTACCTAGACCTTTCTGATGACTTTCGAGTTTACGAAACTCCAAGTAGTGTTCCAAACTCACATTTTGTGATGGCCGCTGCGCATCTAAAACTATTCAAGCAAGTTCACATGCGAATTTCTTTGCGTAACATAAATCAATTGAATAATCGAAGAAATAGCATTTCAACTCGATGCGAGACGACGCGACGCTATGTTAAACCGATAACAAAAGGGTATAGTGCTTTTATGCAATCAAACAGCCGTTACTCATTACCTCTCCAAACCTACCCCGATCAAGCCTTCTCAGACTCGATCTCCTTTGCTTCCCGCTTCTTTCGCCACACGGGGCCCATCTTGATCTCCAACAACATGAGCGGCAGCAACAAACAACAAATGCCACCCCAGAAAGTATAGGTCCAGCCATCGCCCCACGCCGCTGCCTGGCGATCAATGATAGACACCAAGATGGCGGCCAGCGAGCAGCGCACAAGATTCGTACACGCCGTAGCGCCCGAGCTGCGCGACTGCAGAATGTCGATGTTCAGCGTCATGGTCGTGTTGAGGATGCCGATTGACGTCCAACCGAGCATGACGCCGAGAATAAGCGGCACGGCGATATGAGCCTTAGCCTGGATCGTCCAACCCCAACCTATGACGCAGACGATGAAGAGGCTCAGGTAGAAGGGCATGATGCGCAACCTCGCATGTTCAATCGTGAACTTGTCACCACACCGCTCTTTCATACTCGCGTACTGCCAATCGAGCATCTTGCCCGTCATGGTAGAACCCAGAATCATACCAGCGCCAACAGGCAGATAGCAAAGTCCCAACACCGTCTCCGATAAGTCCGGGTAAATCTTTGCAAAGGCCGAAGAAATAGTGGCGGTGATAGTGTAGTTGACAGCGTAGACGAGGCCGGTAAAAGTGAGCAACACAATGACATCAGGGTAACTGAAGAGCACGAATGGGTTGACGCTATGCTTGGGCTTAGCGCGAGAATCGGGGTCGAAAGCTTCTTTCGTTGCTTTTTGGCCTACGATGGGTAGGATAGCGCGTTGCAAGCGAGGCACAGGGATACTGCCATTGCCGGCAATGGAGCGCAGGGTTTCGGGCAGAAAGAGGGCGATGCAGAGGAGGCAGACTGCGACCATGATGACAATGGACCAGAAGATGGATCGCCACCCCAATCCTTGCGATAACGCGCCTCCGATGGCCGGGGCGATGCAAGGCGCGAGCATGGGACCGAGGTTGAACATGCCAAAGTATCCTCCTCTTTCTCGCGAAGTGGAAATGTCGCCTATGACACCTGCGCCTAAGGCGATGGTGGACGCGCTACCTCCGGACTGGAAGCAGCGCAGGAAGAGGAGCAGCCAGAAGTGATTCGTGGGACAGAGGGCTAGCCCGATGCTCGATGCGACGAGGATGCCGAGACACACCAGGTAGACGAGGCGGCGGCCGAAACGGTCACTGATGGGTCCCCACAGCATAGGGCTGATGCCCTGGAATACCAGGTACACGGTAACGGTTTGGTTGATGTCTTCTATTGATTTTCCAAAGGCGCGGGCAAGTGTTGGTATGGCTGGGAAGTAGATGTTCGCTGGGAGAGGGCTATGGTTATGTTAGATATGACCTCATATGACTTTGGGAACGGAAAGAGAAGAAGCATACCTATAGAACCCCGCCAAAGCCACCATGGCTACGATGAGCCATTTCTCTTTGCTCGTATATATACTGTACGGTACTTCGACTTCACCTTCTACCGGTAGCTCAGGTGCTATAGCAGCCTCATCTACCGGTATAGGTTCCTGCTTGTCATCCATAGCAGCAGCCATGACCAAAGACTTGGATTCCAAATAGACGATAGACGAGATGAAGGAGAGCGAAGAGCGACAGCCTCATGCAAGGCTACGCCGCAGCGCCCAACGTCCATGATAAACAAGTCTGCTCTTCCCGAAGACGCTACAATCACCGTCGGAGTATCAAGCACCGCACGCTGTGTGGTTGGACGCTGCCCACCCATTTCGGTCAAGATGATGGGGATAGACCGGCAGACCGGCGAGAAGTCGGCAAGCGCGTCTATAATCAGGCCATTGCGCAGCGAGCATGCAGCCGAGAGACATGCATGCCACACGCCCACATCCCACACTTCCGTCATGTCGGAGTTTGGTCCTCGAGGCCTGTGGGCGCTACGGTGCAAGACGCGGTTATTAGACGGCTAACATGACGGTTGTCGGCTTAGCAGAGGGCGAGGTGGGCGAGATCGTCGTGGGCCGCCGTCGATTTTACGTTCGGTGCCGACGGGTGCGCGCCTAAGCCCAGCGCGGGCAACCAAAGCCGTGTGTACCACAAGGTAAGGGTAAAAAGAGGGCGCGTTTGAAGAAAAAAATTTCTCCTCACGATAACACACACTACTACGCCACTTGGTGATGGAGTCATAACTACGATACTGTGGGTGGAGCAAATGAATCAGGTATATAGGCCGGAATTTCCTTCAGTTGAGGAAAAGACGCCGCACCGGGGGACTAGATTCGTTATCACACGACCGATCAGTTTGGACGACGCCCGTTCCAATATTTCGCACTGCAAGCCATAGCTGGACATAGTAGCTGGATCAGCCCGGTGGGTCAATCAAAACGGCCCTGTAACCAACGTCTCGGGAATTGTTGACAGTGGTTGCTTGCAAAAGGGCTTGACAAACCTTAGGCGCGCAATATCTCGGGGTGGAGCGGCGAAAACGTTCAGGAGCCAAGGAAACCAGAACCTAGCCAAACGCAAAAGAGATGGCAGATATGCCCGACGTAGGGGTAGCAAGTAGCAGGGCTGCTCCGCACGAAGACATCAAGCGGCCTAATCTCTCGGTCGGGGAAGTGGGAGCAGCAGCAGTAGGGGGAGTGGAGAACTCGAGCAGCGACGATGTCACGGTGGGCAAGCAAGAAAGAGTACGAGGGTGGAGAGGGGTGCTGAGTTTTCTGGAAAAGAAAGGAGATGTTGAGCTACGAGGATGTACGCCTGTGCCGTATGAGGAACGTCTAGAGACGCAGTATTCAAAGATCTTCACGCTTTGGTTTTGCATGAGTTGCAACCCCCTGCCGTGAGTGGTCAGCCGGGGAACTCGCTCCGTACATGTCAGCTAACGGGTATGCAGTGTGACTTTCGGCATGGTGGGCACCATGTCCTTTGCATTGAGTCTGCGGGACGCGGCACTGGTTATCCTTTTCTTCACGCTTGCGAGCACTGTGCCGGTGGCATACATGTGTACGTGGGGACCGAAGACGGGTATGCGACAGCTTGTCCAGGCGAGGTTTTCCTTTGGCAAGTACTTTGTTTCTCTCCTGATATTGCTCAATCTTGCTACTCTGACGGGATTCTGCGTCGTCGATAGTGTCATTGGTGGTATGGCATTGTCGGCAGTACAAGATGGAGCAACCATCAACGCAACCGTTGGTATTGTCATCATCGCCGTGTTGTCGCTGGTCATATCCTTCTGCGGTTTCGGAGTACTGCATCACTACGAACGGTGGGCGTGGATCCCAGCATTGGCGGCACTCATCATTGCTGCAGGATGTGGGGGTAAGAGTCTCAGCCACCAGGTTCCAGCACCTGCTGCTACAGCATCGCAAGTTCTCTCATTCGGTGGTCTAGTGGCAAGCTTCATGCTGCCATGGGCTGCACTCGCGAGTGACTTCTCGACGTACATGCATCCCAAGGCTCCTCCGCTGCGGATCGCACTCTACACCTACACGGGCCTCGCTCTCCCAACAATCCTCTTGATGACATTGGGTGCAGCCATGGGCGGCGCTACACCAAACATGGCGTCATGGCAGGCTGGGTACGATGTCAACGCAGCGAGTGGTGTCCTGGCAGCCATGCTTCACCCTGCAGGCGGCTTTGGTCGCTTCGTCACGGTTGTGCTGGCATTCAGCATGTTGGGCAACCTGTCCGCAACAATGTACAGCGTAACACTAAACCTGCAGATGCTGCTTCCCTGGCTGTTCCGCATCCCGCGCATCTTCTTCAGCATCGTCATCACTGGAATCGTGATTGGCGTGGCTGTCGAGGCATCAAAGAGCTTTTTCCTCAACCTCGAGAACTTTATCGGAGTCATCGGGTACTGGAGTGCTGCCTTTATTGGTGTCGCTTTGACTGAACACGTGCTGTTCCGAGGGAGCAGCCTCGTGGCTTACACCGAGGATGAAGAGGCGTGGGACGAGCCGAGCAAGCTCCCGCCCGGGGTTGCGGCAATGGGCGCGTTCCTTGTATCCTTTGCTCTCATCATCCCGTGTATGGGACAGATCTGGTGGACGGGGCCCATTGCGGAGACTACGGGCGACATCGGGTTGGAGGTAGCGGTGGTGCTGTCGGCGGTGCTCTACATACCATTTAGGGTGGTAGAGAGGAGGATATGTGGGAGATGATGTCAAGATAGCAAGAACCAATCGTAAGCATTGCTGTCATGTTTGTTGTGTACTGCATCGAGTTTAGAGATTGCACGTGTTGGGGTTTGGTGAAGATTGCCGGATGCGACTAGCTCGGGGAAGTTGTTGCCTCGGTTGTACCTCTTACCCCGGAAACGCTTGGTGACGTTCACAAGCCAGCCGGAGCCGCAGCTCAAATGCGGAGACACATGCCATCAGAGGAGCCCTGGAAGACGCTTCCCTTTTGACGCTGTTCCTTGCACAGTCTATCCTCTCCTTTTCCATTCTCTCTCTTGTTTTTCTCGGCTGCTCCTGCCTCTGACAACGGCTCCATCATGTCTCAAACACAGGAAAAGGCGCAAGAGAAGCTCATCGAGTCGACTTCGTCGGTGCCTCAGAGCACGGCGGCACAGCAGAGCGACAATGTTGCGCATGCGCTGGCGGGCGCTGGTGGAGGACTACTGTCCATGGCCTTGACGTATGCGCCATGATGACTATTGTCGGAGGGCTGCTAACACACACCCCAGCTACCCGCTCATCACCCTCTCTACCCGCGCCCAGGTCGAATCGAAGCGCGCCCAGTCGTCGACGCTCAATGCCGCGCGCCGCATCATCAAGCGCGAGGGCGTCGCAGGCCTCTACGCAGGCCTCGACTCGGCCCTCTTCGGCATCAGCGTCACAAACTTTGTCTACTACTACTGTGCGAGACACCTGCTTCTGATACGGCATGCAGTACAATGAGGGACTGACAGCAGCCAGGGTACGAATGGACCCGCTCCTTCTTCGAGAAGGCCGCGCTCAAAGCCGGTCGCGCTTCCTCGAAGCTCACAACCGTCGAGTCCATGATGGCGGGCGCCCTCGCTGGTAGCGCCACCGTCCTCATGACCAACCCCATCTGGGTGGTAAACACGCGCATGACAACGCGCAAGTCGGAGGCCTCGGACGAGTCGCTCCCAGGCGCTCCTGCAACCCCGCAGAAAGCCCCGTCGACGCTCGGCACCCTCTTCGCCCTTGTGCGCGAAGAGGGCTTTGCGCGCTTGTTCGCCGGTGTCATGCCTGCCCTGGTCTTGGTCATCAACCCCATTCTCCAATATACCGTCTTCGAGCAGCTCAAGCAGATGCTCGAGAAGAGGAGGCGTGTCACACCAAAGGACGCCTTCTACCTGGGTGCCCTGGGCAAGTTGTTGGCCACGAGCATTACCTACCCGTACATCACTGTCAAGAGTCGCATGCACGTTGCCGGCAGAGATGGACCCAAGGAGGATATGATGACCACCTTCAGGCGCATCATCAGGGAGGAGGGGTACACTGGCTTGTATGGAGGTACGATAGCAACTCCTGCGACGCAAATGGCATGTGTGCTAACCGTTGATAGGCATCGGACCTAAGGTCACCCAGAGTGTTATTACTGCCGCCTTCCTCTTCGCCTTCAAAGATGCGCTGTACGCCTACACTGTCCAGGCACGCAAGAAGCTTGCCATGCGCCGTGCCTAGACGTCATCTCCAGAGTGGTCGCGTTCATGGTAGGCGGTGCATATCGGGTCTCTTCGCGACCCGTAAAACAAGGGCGATATCATGTAGGGCGACAAAACGTCATAGTAAGCTACGAGCTTACATACGAGCACCGTATTTGTCGTGTATGGAGCAGAAAGGTAATCTCCTAGGCGGGATTTCATGTGCGAATGCCATAAAAGTCGTACACGAGCATTAGATGACGTGCACGACTAAGATGCTTGTACATGAGGCTCAGCCAAGGAAATCGCTTGTGAGCATTGAAAATATATATACCCAGAATTTCACCCGTCGTTTAACTTAGGCCGGGCTTGTTCTGCTCACGATTGCAATCGTGTATAACGAGGAAACCTCTTTGTTGTTGAAGGATGGGCGGATAGGATCCCGTTTCTCCGCTAGTCGCGTCGTCAGGCTCATCTCACGTCTACACAGCCGCTGCGGGGTATTCTAATCGAAAGGTTGTCAACATGTCCACCACTGATGTTACGCATGTACCTGCAGCATCGACACAAGCCAGGGCGTAGTAGACATGGCATGGGCTCGGCACGTCTTTATAGCAATTATGATAAGAATCCAGGGCGTCTCTTCTCATTCGTATTCTTTTTTCCCTTCCATGTCCTCCAGTATATTTCTCTGTCAAGATGAGTTCTGAATCGTTTACCCTGAGGTGGGGTATCTTGGGTACGCATTGTTGTCCCTAATGTCAGAGAACAAGCATGCTAATCCCAACGGATAGGCTGCGGAGGCATAGCAACGAGTAATACTTTCTCCCCTTGTCTTCCAACACATACCATTGCTTCCTAACACCCCACCTAGCATTCACAAAAGACCTCCTCATCGACCCTCGAACCCGTGACGCATCCGATATCCGACACGTCGTTGTCGCAGCCGCGACTTCAACATCTGCACAGCGAGCCCAGGACTTTTGCACCAACGTCGGTGTACCGCCCAACACGGCAAAAGCATATGGCTCTTACAAGGAACTCGTTGAAGACCCAGATGTAGATATCGTCTATATAGCTACCCCACACTCCCACCACTACCAACACGCCCGCCTCGTCCTGGCCGCAGGCAAACACGTCTTGATAGAGAAGCCCATCACCGTCACCGCCGAGCAATGTAAAGAGCTACGGAGATTGGCGCGGGAAAAGAAGAGGTTCATGATGGAAGCTGTTTGGACAAGGTTTTTCCCGCTGAGCAGGGAGGTATGCTCCATCATCCAGTCTGGCCGCCTCGGCACCATAACCCGGGTCTTTGCCGACTTTAGCTTCTGGAACGATGTCGAAAAGGAGTTTGGCAAGGAGCATCGCATGGTCAATCCCGAGTTGGCGGGTGGTGCGTTGTTGGATCTGGGCATTTATAGTCTGACGTGGGTGTTTATGGCTTGTTATTATTGCCAGCAGCCGGGAAGGAAAGACGGGCATGGGAAGACGATGGACAAGAAGGAGGAACCGGTTGTCGTGTCTGCGGTTAGTAAAGGGGAGACGGGTGTTGATGAGACGACGACGGTGTTGTTGCATTGGAAGGGGACGGGTGCGCATGCCGTGGCGGGCACAAGTATCAGGGTGGCTACGACGCCTAATGCGGAACATGTCGGTGGGGATGCGGTCAGGATTCAGGGTACGCTGGGCGATTTGACGGTGAATTATGCGCCGAGGCCTAGGACGTATACGCTTGTCCCTGCGGCCAATGAGAAGAGAGGTAAACCGGCGGATTTTGAGTACGAGGTTGTGGATAAGTTCAAAGACATACCTGGAGGGGGACATGGCATGTTCTGGGAGGCAGATGAGTGTGCAAGGTGTGTGAGGGATGGGAGGATGGAGAGCGAGGTTTGTGGACTCGAGGAGACGGAGGTGCTCATGGGGGTTATGGATCAGGTTAGGAAGAATGGGGGTGTCTTGTATCCAGAGAGGATTAGCAGTTTGGAGTATCCGCTTGAGGGGTTTGGAATCTGAGATATGTGGGAGGATGTGTGGGGTTAGATTCACAAGGGGGGAATGCATAGGGTGGATCTTTTGTATTCAGTATTGTGTGACCAGCAGTCTAGCTGAGACCTGAAGTCACGACTTTCTCCAGCCTATACGTACCGCCATATCATCACTTTTGATCAGGATGCAGACACCTTCATGCCTCTTAACCCAGCACCGAAGCATTCTAAGCCCTCAGTGTAAGAAGGGTACTATGTACAACCTCTGCCACAGCGGTAGCCTCAGCACCACGTCCAAGTTTCGAGAAGCACTCATGGCCCCAGCGACAACCAGGACCACACACACCGCTCGGGCAACCATAGTGAGAAGTGGTCGCGGTAGGAGCTGGTGTAGTAGCTGCATCGACAGGGGGCCAAGGTGAAGGTGGGCAACCAGGCTCGTTCCTGCCGGGAATGCACATATGGCAGTCGGTACCGGTAAAGCCTGGACGACAGGATGTAGACATATCCTGACGTGCCTCGACAGCGTTGGCTGAAGGCGGGTGGATTATGATTGGAAAACATCCGGGACCGAATTTGCCGGGCTCGCAACGAGCAGCTACAGCGGTAGACTCGGCCTCGCGTGCATCAATAGCGTCAGCTACCGGATGCGTGATAATCGGGAAACATCCTGGGCCGAACTTTCCAGGCTCGCAGCGAGGGGCTACAGGTTCGCGTGCCTTGCATCCAGGACCAAAATAACCGGGGTCGAAAGGTGCTGCGACGACGGTAGGCTCGGCCTGGAATGCTTCGATAGCGTCAGCTACCGGATGTGTAATAATCGGGAAGCATCCAGGACCGAACTTTCCAGGCTCGCAACGGGGAGCTACGACAGCCGTAGCTTCAGCCTCCCTCGCAACGCGACGCTGAGACCGTCCACCCAAGTCTTGAGATGTAGCTCTAGCTACGATGGACTGACTGCGGGTCCTCGTCCATGTCTGCTTGGGTGCGTTTGTCTGCCTTGCCGCACGAGCGACACCGCGTCCAGGCTGAGTACGGCCACCACCGAAGTCTGGATACGAAATCGTACGTGTTTCATCAGGAAAGCAGAGATGTGTGTCGGGAGCATAGGGCCGAGTATAGTGAGTGGAGTGGCAACCGCATTCGTATGAGGTAGAGCAGGTGGGTGTAGCCTTGTCAGGACCGCATTGAATGTGAGTGGAAATGGGAGGAAGATACTCGGTGATATCGACGCGAGTGTCGGTGATGCTTGTACAAGTCGAAGATGGGGAATCTTGGCGACGGTACTTGGTGATGGTGCGGGTGAGATCACTCGAGTCGGTAGTCGGGGCAGTGTAGCCGTTGGAGCGGGTCTGTGTGCCAGTAGTACAGACAACGCAGCTGACAGAGGTGACAGTGGTTTGGAACTGTCCGACGGTGAGGGCAGCAAAGCCGAGGGCCATCGTGGAGACAGTGGTGAACCTCATCTTGCTGTGTGTAAGTTAGTACCAGATCATTAAGGTAAGCGCATGCTTTGCGGGTTACCTGTAATCGCAGCTTCCAGGTTCTCTTGGAAAGCAAGGAAGGAAGTTGAGTAGAGTGTGGAGGGTGGAAGGTGGAAGATGAAGAGAAGCAGTAGGGGAGATTGTTTATATGTCCGACTACGCTGCAGTAAAGGTACGCTAATAGAGTGGAGCCTTATTGACCTGTGTTTGTGAGGGACTTTACCTTGAGATAACGAGCCGGTAAAACAGTCAAGATGAGCGGTCTACGGATATCGAGTGGGGCCTTGGGCGTCGAGGCAACCGTTTGCAGGGAAATCATAGTAAACGTGAATACCGAGCTTGCGGTGTAGTGACGTGATGGACGTGATGGGTAAAAAAGAGGCAGTGATATGACTTTACATGCAGCCAAATGGAAATGAATACAACTTATACTCTAGAGATAATGATAATACAATGCTGCTGAGACGCCGATTTCTATCACTCTATCTATACGATGTTCTGACAAAAAAGATTCCGTCTATATCAAAAGACCATGTGTAAAGTTCGGCAATGCGGCGCGATACTGTTGACTATACTCGATGATAATCTGCTGCTGGTACCAACTATGGCGCGCATTGTGGTCGGCCACGAGGTTATGTGCGAGCTCGTGGCAGTACGTGCAAAACCAACTGTCCAGCGCCCTCAGCTTTCCTTCCTTGGTCTGACAGCCATCGCTGTGTAGAGCAATGAACCAAGCCAGATTGAAGAACAGACTACCGTTCATGTTGAAGGCCACCGTGTTCGACTTCTTGTCGAGGAAGACGTTCACTGCGGCCGGATTGACGCTAAAGATCGAGGTAAGACCGAAGATGAGCGGTAGGAATGCTTGCAGGTGAGACTGCAAGTCGGTGAGCGGTGCAGTCTCGTCGCGACCGTAGTAGATATCGACATGTCGACCGGAGAAGGGTACGGAAAAGGCTTTGTGCAAGTTCTCCCATTGCTCGCCATTACAGTAACCTCCTCGGTCAAGCTCTGTCGGGTCTTGGTGATGCTTTGTGTTGATATTGTCCATACCGGTAGGTCGACATTCCTTGATAGCATTCTGGATGTTCGATTTCGTAGCTTGAATGTCGCGGCTGATCTGAGGCCCGTCTGTGCCACGCGTGCCTTCACGCGGTGTGCTTGGTGCATTCTTGAACCCAAGCTTCTTTGCCCAGTTATTGATGAGGCCCTGGTCCTCCTCCGGTTGACGGCCGCGATTGGCGATTTCCATGCCAGTGTCTGGACTACCAAACGCACCAGGCATCTCTTTGGCCTTCTCTGGCGTCTCGGGTGGAACGTTTTCTCTATCCTCATGCTTTACATGACCAGACTTGGCTCTTTCAACGGCTCGCTGCTGCTCTTCTTCTTCACGTTCTTGTTCGGCCTGTTTGGCGATGCGTGCCTCATGCTCTTTCCTTCGTAGAATACGCTCTACATTGATACCCTTTTGCTGCAGTCGGCGCAAAGGCTCAGTCAAGATGCGCTCAAGCGCGATCGCATCGTTGCGTTTCGGCCGCGATACCAGCAATCTGACTAGTTCGCTAGATACC